TCCAGGATCAAAAAGTAATCTTGGAACTTTTTTGGGGGTTTGAACCTTCAATGTTTTTCCCTTGTGACAAGTCTTGAGTAAAAAGCCTTGCGGGGCCTTCTATGCTTCACTTTGGCTTCAGTTGAGTCGCCATCACGTCCCATATGAGCAAGGGTCAAGTGTGTATCAAAAGAGATTTTTTTTGCACATTGAACTTTTTTAGTTGATGTTTTTATGAAGTGTGATGGGTGGACCTTCTTCTAGGACGTTTTCAAGATCCTTTGTAGCTCCTCCAGGGTCAAAAACTAGTTTATCTCCACTGCATATGGTCATACAATAAGAGTTTCTTGTAGAAATTCCAAAGATCAGGGTCTCTTTGCATCTTTTCTCATCTCCACAACATGGAAATCATTAGGAACAAGGCAATTTTCACTTGAAAAGGCAAATTGGGTATGATACCTAGTACAGCTGCACAAGAAAAATCTCCACAGTGAATATACACCATAGATGGATGAAATTTCGAAATACATATTCCCTCTACAGAAGGCTCTGGTATTTGACTCACATCAGATCTAGTTACACTAGGAGAATCATGAACATCTATTCCTTGCTCTTCTTCAACAGCTTCCATCCTTTCTTTTAGTGTTGCAGCATTCTCAAGGCTTTGCACTTATAGGGACTTCACATGCTCAGGAAGATCATCAAACTTCTTGTTGAGTTCAATGGAGATGGAATCAATCTTCATTTGCAAGGCAGCATCAGTGTCAGCTAGAAAATCAAGAAACTAATTCACCATAGCCTTAGAATGATTAAGCTGGAGACTTATTTGATGGATCTCATCATTCAGGTTTATAATTTGATGAGGAAGAGGGTGAGATGGTCGATAATTCACCATAAGGGGCGAATAGACTTCATCTCGGTAATGATGGTTTGGATGAGAGTTTCAAAAAATATAGTATGATTCGCTGTAGGTGTGTGAATGAGAGTATTGAGCAGCACACAAGTTATAACACCCTCACCCAATGATTTCATATTGCTCCTAAGGCAAATACTTGTTTCAGAAATCTGAAACCAAGAAAACAAAACGAAAAATTAAAAGAAAATGGTGTCTAAGAATCGGTATTACTACCTATGAAATTTAGCAGAAGCAAGAACGAATCTCTCCCCGGCAACCGCGCCAAAAACATGATGCTGCTAGGGTTGAATGTCACAGAAGAAGTTTTAAATTTACAAACCCTAGTATCTGCAAGTGCACAGCAGTGCGATGTAGTACTTAGGGTGTCGATTCACACGGAGAGTTGACTTCTCTGCAAAAACTTCAAAACTTCAAACTTCTCTGCAAAGACCAATAAGGATTTTTGTGTCACTGAATTTGTGCAAAATAAAACAAGACTAAAAGCTCATAGAACGAATGTTGGGCTGGCAGGGATATCTAAGGGGGTATTCGATTCATGCTAGGGTTCTAAGCTCATAGGGGGTCAACGCAGGCTCCTCCCAAACGGCCTAATCAATATCTTAGTATATTCCAATTAGCTTACAGCTAGTATATATTTATCTATTTCTAAGAATCTGCATGGAACTAGAGAATGTACTAATATGGCTAGCCAAATGTCGTCACCCTAACCAATTACTTAAACTCGACAAGTAGCTTTCATTTCTTGCTGCAAGTAAGATCATGCATTAACTAAACGGAATTCATTCTTGCTCACATCTTCTGTGTAGGTATTTTTTGAATCCTACAGCGACTATGTTCTTCTGAAGCTATGTACGGCGATCTGATACATCACTATCCTAGCTCTGATCAACCTAGGATCAGTAGTTAGGTTGTGAATCTAACTACATGCATTAGGAACAACTTAGAATAAATGAGATCTAGAATACGGCTAAGAAAGCAACAATCCTACTCGAATATGGAGCCCCCTTCGATGAATCTTTTAAACCCAACAACTAAACTACTCTGACATAATTAAAGAAAGCATAAGCATAGAAATAGATAGCATAAACTGAATAGATAGATCAAAAGAAATAACAAGGGTTCAAGAGAAGAATCTTTATCCCCCTAACCTAAACCTAAAAAATAAAAGTTTGGTGGCTCCTAAACAAGGGCACAGGAGAACACACAAAATGAAGTCTTCTATAACACATATTTATAGGTTTTCAAGTCTTCTAGATCATCCTTAGGACTTTCTTTGAAGAGAGAATGAGTTGGGCTTGAAAATGAGCCTTAGGGCCAAGAATGACTTGACGCAGATAAAGACTCTCCGGGGCTGGTAAATGATGGTTCCACCGCAGGTGCAGGCTTGGAGGCGCGGCCAAGAGGTTGTTTACTACAATCACGACCTCCTTGAACCACGGTGGTTGGCCTATGAGGTCAACTGTTCAATTCTTCTCTTGCTTCTTTCGCAGACTGCAGAACATGTCTTCAGTAAATTGGATTTATCTAGAGATCTAAAGTTGCATTAATCAGACGGTGAGCATGTCTTCATCGGATGTGAAATTTCTGACAATCTGAAATTGGCCAAAAATGAGCTTTTTCTTCAATTTGCATTGTTTTTGCCTAAGTACCCTGAAAAGAGTCTTGAAACTAAAAACGTAGGAAAACAAGAAAAAAAAAGCACTTAAAACTAATTAAAACCTTTGAAAAATCAGAAGAAATTAATAGTAAAAATGAATACAAATACGGTGTTATTACGGATCCTCTGCATCATACACAAATATGATTTGTCATATGTATATATTTGTATATAATTCATATAATAATCTATTAATGTAATTATATATATATATATATATTAATATTAGATATATACTTATAAGAAATGAAATAAGAATTTTGGCTTTAGAGAAATACATACATATATGCTTCAAAGTACTCTCTAAAGGATCATAATCGGTTTCCAACAACTAGGGTCATCGATTAAAATTTTTCAGGTGATATAAATATCTATGATTCTAGAGCTAGAGTGCTGGGATATGACTATGTCACTTTCCTGATCATAATTAACTGTCACTCACGACCTTGAGCAGTAGCTTTCGACTCTGGCCCCGGACAAAAGTGTACTCACAATTCACCCATAGGTAGCTTTCATCTCCTATGGCAGAATCACTCGTTTCATTCCAGGTCAGACAATTAATGAAAACTCTCGCAACACTAAGTATCTAGATCAGACGCTAGGTAATTCAATCAAGCATACATGCCTTAAGAACAAGAATAAACGAAGAACATAAATAATATCCGAAATTCAAAAATCTAGATGTCTTAATCGATTATGAGAGCCCATTTCGGGAACCCTATGCCCAACTCGGGATCTACTCAGACATGGCTGAGGTCGACATTATCATTGATTTTTAATGAAAGCAAGAATAATATTAAAGAAAAGAGATGAAGAAAAGCTTCTCTATTGATGAATCCAAGGTTGAGCAAATCTTCTCTACAAATCGTGAAAAATGGCTAAGAGTTTGTCTCTGTCCAAAGCATGAAGGAGATCTCTATAAATGACCTAATTGACAAGTATTTATAGTCTTTAATACTCCGAGACGTCTAGGGCTTCGGAATTAAGCTTTTTGAATTAGAGATAGTTGACGCGGTCGTGTGGGGCGTGACCATGGAAAAGGAAGGCTTAGCGTGATCGCGTGGTCTTGGCCGCGGTAAATGGTCGGCTGGCCATGGTCACGTGGCTCAAGGTAGTCTTCAATTGTCTCTGGGGCAAATGGAATATCTTGAGATCCAACCGTTTGAATGTCTCCAAACCAATGGCATTTGAAAGCTGGTTGAGTCTTATCTTAAGTGTCCAATTTTGGGGATGATCATACGGTGAAAAGGTATTCGTCTCTCCTTGAGATCTCTCCCAAGTTACCTGAAAAGTCTTTTAAAATCCAAAAGCATAAAAATTCCTTGAAAACCTTTAAAAACAGAGTAAAAACACCTACAAAAGATATTAAAGTGATCCATAAAAATGGTCAAAAACTGGCTTTGTTGCAAGTACGGCCCCTCTGGGCCAAATTAGGATTCATATTGGACATACATCTCAATACAACCTAAGCATATAGCATCGGGCTTTGAATCATATGGATTCAAGAGATCTGGCATGATAAGCTATATGTTCTCGGATTCTTCGTATCTGACAGGGCAGGTCACACTGTCAGAGACAAGGAGATCGAGAACTGAGTGGTCAGGAGGAGAAGAGGTTACATTCTTTATGTCATAGGACAAAGCTCAGTGATCTAGAAGGGTCGGGATATAAGGAAGTGTAACCCGCACAGGTATTCGAAAAGATAAGTCAGCAAGCAGGACAACCCTGACAGCCTGGACCCCGACAGCCTGGACCCAGTATCAAGGGATCCGTGCCTCGTATGAATAATCTATTAAGCGGGAAACACTGTTCAAATTTCTCTTCATTCGACAGTTGGAATATTCCTTACACTGATTTGATTGCTCATAATCTTTACAAACCCAATAAGAACATATGAGGTCATACGAATTACGGTTCCTAAAACATCTCTAGGGTCTAGGGTTCCGGAATCAAGGCTGGGAAAATGAAATGGGCTTCAGAAATGGGCCTTCGGAGTCGGAATTAGCTGGCCGCGGTCGGGATGTGCGTGACCGCGGGAAATGGTTGGCTGGCTGCGGTCGAGACGTGTGTGACCACGGGGATTGGTCTGTTGGCCGCGGGTGGAAACGCTTGTCGATCGGCTGGTTTACGGGACATCTTACTTTCCGCGTATATTTTGATTGAACCGTTGGATTGCCAAGCTGTAAAGTGTGCTAGAAAGCTGATACTTCCATCTTTAAGATCTCCAAATTTGAGCTGGATCAGACGGTGAGAAGGCCTTCAATCGGAGGTGAACTTATGACGGTTTGACTCTGAGCTGAAATCTGGTTTTCTATCCATTTTGTTAAGCTTTTCCCAAAGTTACCTGAAAAGAGTCTTGGAACTACAAATACTAGAAAAATGTAATAAAAGTACTTAAAAGCAATTAAAAACATAGAGAAAGTATTTCAAAACGATCCATAAAAGTGGTCAAAATACGGTGTTATCACCTGCGCGATCAAGTATTTCCTTAGCATAAGATGCCTGACTTAAGAACATTCCTTGAGCGTTGTACTCAGCTTTAATCCCGAGGAAGTGCTGGAGTTTGCCCATGTCTGTCATTGGGAATTCTTCTTTGAGTTTAGTGATGATCTGTTACAGAAGACTCATTGAAGAAGCTGTTAACACTATATCATCGACATAAAGCAGGATGTATGCAAGATCACGATTTTTCTTGAAAACAAACAGAGAAGCATCTGCTTTACTGCGCAGGAATCCAATATGGCTTATAGCAAACCGTGAATTCCAGGCCCTTGGTGCTTGCTTTAGGCCATAGATGGTCTTTCTTAATTTGCAGACATGGTTGGGAAATCTAGGATCCACAAAGCCTGGTGCTTGATGCATATAGACAATTTCTTCTAGATGTCCCTGCAAAAAAAGCATTTTTGACATCTAACTGATGGATCGGCCAATTGAGAGCATCACCAATGTTTAAGACAGTGCGAATGGTCGCTGGTTTGACAACTGGACTGAAAGTTTTGGTAAAGTCAATGCCTGCTTCCTGCGATTTGCCATTTGCTACAGATCGGGCTTTGTGGCGTGTAAGAGCTCCATCTGCATCATACTTATGTTTGAACAGCCACATAGAGTTAACAATATTGACCCCTGGAGGTCGAGGTACAAGATCCCAAGTTCTAGTTTCAATCATAGCACCATGTTCATCAGTCATCGCAGGTGTCCAATTTGGATCAGAAAGGGCCTGTTTATAGCTTTTTGGAAGTGGAGATTTTGTTGTGGTGAGAAGAGAAAGCATTTGTTTTGGTTTACGTATTCCAAACTTGGCTCGAGTCGTCATTGTGTGACGAGAAACAGGGAGAATAAGGGGTTGTGGGTCGTTTGAATTAGTTGGTGGGTTTGGTGATGGAAGTGAAAGAGGTGTTTGAAGAATGTTACGAAATATTGGGGAAGGGTCAGTGTGGTCGAGAAATTGATAAGGTGAGTCTGGATTTTGGTGTTTTTCTGCAGCTGGAAATTTCTCTTCATTAAAATGAACATGGCGAGATATGATGATCTTATTGGTTTTTAAATCAAGGCATCTGTACCCTCGGTGCTGTAAAGGATATCCCAGAAAGAGACAAGGTGTGGATCTTGGAGATAGTTTATGGAGAGTGGAGTTATTGAGATTGGGAAAACACAGACATCCAAGAACTCTCAAATGATCTTATTTTGGATTTTTCTTGAAAAGCAGAGTGTATGGGATTTGATTTTTAATTGCAGAAGAGGGTAAGATATTTAAAAGATGTACTGCGACATGGAGAGCTTCAACCCAGTAACATGGCGCGAGCTGAGCTTGGAAAGAAGAGATCACAGAGTATTATTTATGGTTCATATCATTCTCTCAGACTTCCCATTTTGTTGGGAAGTGTAAGGGCATGAAAAGAGAACCGTTATTCCATTTCTATCGAAATAGTCATGGAAATCTTTGTTGTTGAATTCTCTTCCATTGTCGCACTGAAAGGATTGTATTTGGGCACCAAATTGGTTTTTGATGTAAGCTGTGAAATGTAGAAATTTTGAGAAGACATCACTTTTACGGCGAATTGGATAAACCCAGAGTAATTGAGAAATATGATCAAGGAATAAGACATAATAACGAATTCCACTGATGCTTGGAATTAGAGAGGACCAAACATCAGAGTGAATTATCTCAAAAGGCTTATAAATTTTCGAATGAGAAAGATGAAATGGAAGCTTTATTTATTTTCCCAAATGACAAGGTTCACAAGAAGAATGTAACTTGTCATTATTACAGAGAATCAAATTTGAAGAAAGAATGGAACGAAGAGCAACATTATTGACGTGGCCGAGTCTTTTGTGCCACAGTGATGGGGTGGAAGCTAAAAGAGCAGTTGAAGTTGAGGAAGATGGTTTATTGAAGGAAGCTGGAAGAAGGTACAGATCACTGGAGCTCTCACATTGGAGCAGAACTTTCTGAGTTTGAATGTCCTTCACAGAAAAACCAAATGGGTCAAACTCAACACTACACCAATTATCTTTCGTAAATTTACGAACTGAGATCAAATTTTTAACAATTTGTGGAGCAACAAGGATATTATGAAGAGAAAGAGGACGAGAACCAGTGTTTAGATATGATGAGCCAATGGATGTGACAGGGATTTTGGAACCATTTCCAACGATGACTGAATGATTGATGCTACGAGTAAAATTAGAGTTTAGGATACCTGCAGATGATGAGAGATGAGCAGAGGCTCCAGAATCCATGTACCAATCCAAAGTAGACGGATCTGGGAAGGTCTGACCGCTGTAGACGTCGCGGTATTGTTCTATTGGCTAAGCTTGCATCAGATTGGCCTCAGGCTGTGGTTGGAACGAAGGATGAAAAGGAGGCATCGTCGGACCACGGTAAGTTCCCATTTGAGCGTATGGGTTCCAGTTCTGAAATTGGTTGGGCCACGAAGTGTATTGAGGTGGCCATATGTTTGATGGAGTCCAATTTAGGAAGTTAGGGCAAAACTGGTTATTGAATCTGCCACAACGGTTTTTCTTGTTGCCTCAGTAGTTGTTAAATCGTTGTGTCTGATTCTGTCTGGTGGGTTGTGAAGTTTGAGTCGTCGTCGACTGCTGAGTGGAGACGACGAGAGCATGTGACGAAGAGGAGTAATCGTTGTGAGTAGCCGACGCTCTGTGGGTTCGTCTGAGTCATGTTTCTTCGTCCTCGAGCATGTTTTTCGCATCATCAAAGCTTGGAAACGGATCCTTATGTTTGATAACATTAATAATGTTATCATATTTGTCGTTGAGACCGTTGATGAGGTACTTGACCAGAGTTCTTTCTGTGACCGGAGCATCCACATTAGCGAGCAGGTCAGCAATGGATTTGAGTTTCTGAGAATAATCTTTGAGCGTCAGATCTCTGATTTTGGTGTTGCGAAGTTCGTTGTCGAGTTGAATAGCGCGTGCTTCTTTGTTGTTGCGGAATTGATTTTCGACGCGAAGCCATACATCTCGTGCTGTGCCACCAGTTTTGAAAGAGGATCGGAACAGAGGTGGGGCAAGAGTTCCATAGATCCACAATTTGACCAAACCATCACGTTTGTGCCAAGCACATCAGTAGCAGCAGTGGGAAGCAGAGTCCCATCAATATGTCCAGCGACATCAAAGGCTAAGCAGTGGGTAAGGAAAAGCTCCCTCCAAGCATCATAGTTGTGATCATCAAAATCAAGTATGATGGGAATGTGGGATTACAAAACTATAAAGCCAAAACTGTTCCCAAATATCAGGGATTACAAAGAGGATTACAAAGAAGATCTTAGCCTAAATTATCTGAACAACATTTACAAAATACTAACATAATATTCTATATTATCAGTTCCTAAACCGTGGAGTATTTCCACCCCAAAACTTTTTCACTCTTCTCTTTTCACCACAAAAATCCCACCACACAAAGGTCCGAGCAGAATATACCCTTCTCAGGAATTTCGTCTAAAATCCTTCCCTTCGTTTTATGATTTCTTTCCTCTCTCCGATTTGCAATTGGTGGTCGTTTTTCACCGTTTTCTGACCTGAGCATTTGAGAGCCATCAGAAAACACCCTTGCATAGTGTTTTCCAGGCCTTCACGTGTTTTCTGGTTTTGGAGGAGACTTGCCCCTAATAAGGACTAAAATTCCCCTAAACAGAAAGCTTGGAAGCATATAATGATTATCTCTGATAAATGAAATGTTGAGAATGACATAGTTTATATAGGAAGTAGATTTTTTTTTCTCCTCTACCCAACTATTACAATCACATTTGGTCTATTGAAAGAGTGGTCCGAGGGCCATCCTTGATTGACTCGTTATGATCGATTTGGGAAAATATGACTCCTCTTGCTCGAGCTCCTTTTGCAAGACTATCCGCTCGGACATTTGAACTCCTCGGGATATAGGATAAACTGAACGCAGAGAAGCTCTCTCGAATGATGTGTAACGATTCCAGCTCTGTCGCAAATGACGGCCAATCCGTTGGAGAATCCGACATACTCACAAGGTCTAAACAATCAGTTTGAAAGTGCACCGAAGTCATCTGTCTGTCTCTCATACATGACATAGCCCAAAGGAGGCTATCCATCTCAGCATGAAGAGCCGAGAGGCTTCTGCGACATCCCTGCAGGCCAAAACTCTCAAGCCCACTGCCGTCCTCAAAACTCCACCCAAGGCCGCTAACCTATCCGTGATCAATCCATGAAGCATCAATCCGGCATATCGGTAACTGCGGTTCCTCAGGTAGCAAAATCGGGGGCAGAGTAGGGGCCAGCATCTCCATTTGTGCCTCATCGTCGTCTTCAAGTTGATTCGCAGTTCTCCAGCTTTCTGCTTCCACCCTATCGTGGATCAAGGTGTCTTGCGGGGGAATTTCTTTCCCGTTGAAAATCTTTTCGTTCCTTCCTTTCCAAATAAACAATAGGATCCAAGGATATACATCCTTTTGTAGATCTGTAATGCCTAATTCTTTTGTTTTCCAAAAGAAGAAGCTCATATTTTGATAAATAGAGGTAATCGAGAAGAGGCCGGGAAGAGACGAAAAGTCTGATAACGCCCAGATTTGTAAGGCCAGGAGACATAAAAAAATAGGGAGTAGATTATATAGGGTTTTCTTTAATAAAAAATTTCTAATATGATTTAGAAAATTGAAAAACAAGTAAAATCTTAACTATTAATAAATGAAACATCTCAACAAATTTGGAAACAATTTTTTTTCTTACATAACATAATTCGAAAAATTGAGTTTCTGATAATTAGTGTCGTACATAAATAATTAATGTCATCTTTTAAGTTGATTTGAAATTTTAGAAAGAAGTGGAATGCCAATGACTAATAAATGAGATATCATAAATTCAGAAACTAAATATTTATGTACATAACTGAAATTTGGAAATATTATTGTCGATTTTCAAAATTACCTATTATAGTAGGATACTAAATATGAATTTTAAAAATATTTTTTCCAAATCTGTTTCTTTGATGGTAATAGCACCCAAAATTGAATATTTTTCAATCAAGCACCAGAGACATATAAAATTATGCAGAAAAGAAAAAAAAATCTTCACAAAAAAAAATGTTTTATAAATTCTTTTTTTTTGTAACTGTGTTGAGAGTTAAATGCATTTTTTATGTTAGTGATTGTTTTGAGAGGTAGATGTAATTTCTTTGTTTAGAATTGTTCAAAATGAATATCCATTTTTGTTTTTTTTTTTAAAGATTTTCATTAATTTGTTTTTTCCGAAATTCATGGAGAATTTGATTTTTTTTTAATATATTTGTAATTATTTAAATACTTTTTAAACCTAAAATAAAAAGATCTAATTTTTAATGGGTCGGGTACAAAAAATACAAGTGTTTTTTACTGGGTCGGGCTAAAAAATGCACATGTTTATTTGTTTTCTTTAATTAATAAAATATTAAGTAACCTGATTAATTTACCATAATAAAAACAAAATTATTTTTTATCAAACAAGAACCAATTAAAATTGTCTAGATGAACAACGTTGTCATGTCACATTTATGACGTGGGTTAAACGTTGACGTGGGAAGTTGGTTGTTTCTGTCCAATAAAATTGAAACAAATCAGACTTAAATCAAAAGTATTCATTAATGGGAAAAAACTTACAAAACCCTGAATTATTTAAAATTTGCTAGTATTTGTATTGTTAGAAACTTACACAAATTATTTTTTTGTTCAAAAAAAGCTCTGAAATTTTATACGATTCCAGTTTCCTCCCTATGATTTAACGGTCGTTAACGGTATAAACAAAACCGTTAACTGTTTTTAATTTTAATTACAAAAAAATCAGTAA